GAGGGAGAGTGATGCTCGTCCATCATTTGATTTAACTCCATCCCAGGTAATATGTTTGTGGAGGTTATATTAAGTTTATATTTCCTGCTTGCTGAATACTGAGAATGTCATAAAACACAATGAAATAGTCTGAATTTCAGTCTGCAGTATCATAGAAGTCCAGTTGTGTGCAGTACTAGTTTGTATTTTTAATGTTGTTCTTACTTATCTTGTTGAGTTAGACAAATGTGCTCATGTGCGTTTGTATATGCTGTGATATTTATTTCTAACTGTGCCATGTCTTCGGCACTAGTGATTTGCCTAATTTTCTGGCTTTCCACTTTAATGAGATTGCCCATAACTCTCTACTTGGCGTCTGCTCACTTCTTCAAAATTTCTTGTTTTCTTCTTTCAAAATGTCATGTACAAGAGTTAGCTTAGCCATGGTGTAGAAGTATGGAATAGCTTCTACATATTGGATGCTAATTTGATGCTTTTTCCGCTCTTTGTTAATCTCAGGAGGAATGTTTGCTAAGGCTACAAAACCGTATAGACGTTGCATATGATAGTTTAATCCCTGAACATCAGGTACCTTCTCTGCAAGACATCTTAGTTGTTTGCAATAGCTTAATATCTGTAAGACTTTGACATTTCATTCAGGTATGACATTCTTTTTTCTCAAGATTTTTTTTTTGTTTTTGACCTAAAGGAAGCTTTAAAAGCTTTGTGGAAAGTTGCCTTTCCTGAGGAACAACTTCGTGGCTTGATATCTGAACAGTGGAAGGAAATGGGCTGGCAAGGAAAAGATCCATCTACTGACTTTAGGTACATCAGCACCCACTCCGCCCAAAATTTAAATGAAGAAAAAGGAGGATTATTCTCAGGCTTATTAACATCTTTCTGATAATTTCCGTTTCTGCCTGTTGCAATCTTATGTTGGTTTTAAGTTGTTTCATTGATTCTGTAGGGGTGGTGGATTTATATCACTGGAGAACTTGTTATACTTTGCGAGGAATTTCCCGGTATGTCCTCTTTCCTCACTCTATGTCAAACATTCTAAGCATATGTATGCATACTGTTAAGAGTGCGCAAATTACTAGGAAAAGATAACTTTGTCTGCTGTTATTTTGTGGCGATGGGAAACCTGACAGTCCTAGGTTCTTTTTTTCTAAGCAGGTACTGGGTATTTGCATCCGGAGATTGTAGCTATTCAAATTGTTATGTTACACCTGAATTACTTCACTTACGCACGCCTTTTGTTTCCCCTATGCATAGAAACATATGGTTTTTTAATTGCTTGCTCAACTCAGAAATTGTGGTAGTTTTTTTTTTATTATTATTGTGTGTGGGGGGGGGGGTATGGTGGGTGCATACTAAACGATGTGATAATTATCTCTGGATTTCTTTATGATGTTCTACACAATTTAAGTAGGAACCTAGTCATCATCTCTTGGTGATAACAGCATATAAAAAATAGCTGGAAAGGTATTTATGGCATTAATTACGTTTATGGGTAAAATGTACGGTAATGGATAAATCAGGCACAATGCTTTAGAACTTGGATGACCAAGAAGGAAAAACGGTTTAGAACTTGGCTGACCAAGTAGGAAAAAAGGGCTTTATTGTCATCTAGTATCTCTTTGTTTCTTGTAAAATTGGATAAATGTTTGTTAATCAGACTATTAAATTGCTTATCTTCATGCGCGTCAAGTTGTCAACTGTCAAGGGAGGGATAGTCTTGTGAAAGGGCCCTGTTCCCCAACCATGAGTTATGGGTTTCAAACAACCGAGGGGTGAAGGGGGAAAAGCTGTTGCCCTTCTTGTCTTTTTTTCCGGTGTTTGTGTGGGTGGGTGGGGATCGGAGTGGAGGTACCATAAATAATTAAAAAAATTATGTGCAACAATATTTCCCACTCCCTAACTTTTGCTGGATGGTATATATTTAGTTGGAAAGTTGTGTATCTGGAGACCCTCAAAGTTAGCACAAAATTATGCCTTGGACGTCAAATCTGAATTGGTTTTGTGATGTTGGATTGTGTGATATGATGACATAAGTGGTTTATATATCATATGTATCCTGACTGGAAAAGTTACATTCAGGAGAAGGCTGTATATTTGTCTTTAACAATAATCATTTAATTTAGAAGTTAAGTGTTTATCAATTACTTTTCTCTATGGTAAGCTTTGGAGAAAATCACGGAAAGGATGATCGGCATGCTAAAATAAGCCTTTATAATGAACTTTGATAGATCTACTAAATACTTTTCAGAAAAGATTGAACCAAGCACAGTGAGCTTGATGTTAGATGAATTTCTGAAAATAATTCTGCTAAATTGTATATTTTATTCTCCTTTTGAATAACTTGCTCAGGTGAATGAGGCCTTCAAATTTGTACAATTAAATTAGAACTGTTGTCCTATTATTCAGGCATCTGTGAATCAACAAAACTGATCTTTCCCACTCTGGATCTTGTCATTTTATGTGAAATATATGAGTGTCTTCTATTAGTAAAATAAAGGGCTTTGTGTTACTCAACTTGGAGAAAGATTCATAAGAGCATACTATAACATCCATGAACAAAAATTCAATAATTTCTGTCTCTATCACACCAACAATTATCTATAGAAGTGCACATTATCCTTGATTTATGTGAAATAATTGTGGATCCGTGAAAGAAGGATTGTTCAGAAGTAAGTTTCAGTTAACCAATATAATGATTATGCGACAGTATAAAGTTCTAGATTCATCTATTTATTCTCTTTTCGTAATTTTATTTGCAGAGATCTTTCCAGGATCTTCTCCGAAAGCAGGAAGGTGATAGAGCAATTTGGGAATACCCATTTGCTGTTGCTGGTGTCAATATCACATTTATGCTTATCCAGATGCTTGATCTAGAAGCTTGTACGTGAACCACATCTACACTCTTTTATATACTCAAAGTTGTGAAAGTCTTGACAGAATTCCAGTCTATATGCTTTTAAGTAGGTCCATCTAATAAAAATGAGATTTGAGTTTCTAACAATCAATGCAGAGTCTCTCTTGCACAAGTATATAGTCCAACCAAAGATGGTTAATTCTCCCTGGAAACTTGTTTTGATATCGTAATTAATTGTGCTTTTATTTCTTCAGTAAAACCCAGAAATTTGGTGGGGGCTACTTTCTTGAAGTTTCTTGCAGGTACATTTTTTTTAGATCTGTCTCTACTTCAGTTTTTCGTAAAGTGCTTCTAATTTCTCCTTCATTTGATGCATTATTTACTGCGATTAGATATGTCTTTTTGTTTCTACTTCTCTTCTGTGTTGAATAAGAGAAGTCAGTGAATCTTTATTTATTCCTTCACAAATGAGAAGTCCTACTTTCATCTGCATTTTTCCTTTGCTCTTCTAAGCAAAGTTGTTTCATTTTTACAGAAAATGAATCAGCGTTTGATCTGCTATATTGCATCACATTTAAGCTGATGGACAACCAGTGGCTTGCCATGCGCGCATCATATATGGACTTCAATGTATGTATTTTCAGCTTACTGTTATTTAGTTATGGATATGGAATGATCAAATTCTGCTGCTGCCTAATCCAGTTCTTTTCCATTTGAAAAAATGTTCATGTCCTTTTTACGTAAATGTTTTTCTTAATTGTTTCACTTTGGCTAGCATTATCTTAACATCAAGGAGATGTGAAATCCTTGGCAACAGAGCAGCCTGCAATTTTGCTTTTACTGGATAGTGGTTTCTGAGTAACTTGTTGTTGACTCTTTGTTGTTGTAATTATTTAGTTGTATTTTAGCCATTGGGTTCAATCAGAGAAATTCACTACGGATATCTTACTACTTCGTATTACACAACATGTGAACGTGTAGAATCCCTGCATTCCTGATTTTAGATATGCTATGTGGTTGCAGGCGGTCATGAAGGCTACTCGTCGTCAACTAGAAGAGGAGCTACTGCAAGAAGACATTACACGGCTAGAAGATTTACCATCATACAACCTTCTTAGTCGATAGTGTTTGTAGGCTTGACTTTTAAGAAAATGAGAATGGCTTCCGTATGCATGTTTTGTGGCATTTGTTGGTGGTGGTGTTGCGTAGTAGCTTTGGATGGTGGGTGTTACTTTGTAGAAGTCAGCGGATAGGGAAAATTGGGATTAATGTTAGAGCAAGTACAATGTCATTCCCCTGTTTCTTGATTTTGGAAAAGGTCACACCTGATGATTGGTCTCAGTAGTGATGGTAGGAAATTCAAGATTGCCTTCAGAAGACTACCTTTCTCTTTAATTAACTCGTAAGGTGGTAACCATCAATAGTCTGTCTATAAACAAGACTTTGTAATACTTTAGACCAAGACGTGTCTGCATAAACTGACTGAACCCTGAAAGAGATTGTGATTTGAGCGTGGCCTGTATTCGTACATCTTATATCTTGAATCCTTTTGGAATGTAATTAAATATACCACAATCATTTTAAAAGGCACCTATGATTGCCAACTAACCTACTTGTGAGGTCATGTCAAAAGGAGAATCCATCTTTGGGTTCCCTAACCGAAGATTGTTGGTGTGTCAACTTACACCATCTGTTGATTTAGCAGTCACCTCAACATAACCTCTGTCTCCTGTGTCATATTATTAACAAAATTAGCGTGCATTACTCGGCTCCAAAATTTGGTTAGTACCTGCAACATGCAGTTACATCCCGTGCGGGCGTTTGCCAGCTCATGAGCAATGAGAACAAGTATCGACAGCTAAACCATGGACAAAGGCTTTAAGTGAAAGAGTTCTACATGTCAACTTTAGGCAGTTGTGCCACGCTTCATAATTTATTTATTTTTGCTAGATATTTTTCAGATAAACACCTAACAAGAAATAGATAGACCTTACTTTAAATTGGTTATTATGCCAGAAGAGACTAAGCTCCAAATACTGACCTCTTTCGGACAAAAGTCGATTGAAGTAATAATGACTATGAACCAAGAATTTACTTCCACAAGCACCGAAGTTGCCAAATCTTAAGAGCAAATTGCACGGAAACATATGCCAACTACCATCTATAGAGCCACAGCACACAATTAAGGTAACGTTACACACTGATTTTTGAAAAAATTCAAGCTGCTTTTTTCTTTTACAAAAATAGAGAAACAAGTGAAGCAAACATGCTTAAAATTTACTAGCTTGAAACAGCACACACATAAGATCAAATATCACATATAAAATATGCTAGAAATAAGGAACATCATTAAATCTCAAATACCAAACTTCTAGATTCAAATGACATACAAAATTCATAAGTTAAAACCAAACAGGCTAACAGCATAAAGAGAGTTCTAAATTCATAAAACTCTTCTATTCATAGATCCAAGAGTGAAGGCTGCTCTGCCACTCCGCGATTCCTTCAGGGAACCAAAGAGCGATCTCCTTCCTAGCACTCTCAACAGCATCACTTCCATGGATGACATTCCTGTAATCAAACAGGTTGAGGTCTTATACATCAGCACTATGTTTAAGGTCGGGGTAATAAGCAAGAACAACAGTAAACAGTAAACTAGTAACATCACCAGGCTTCTATGCAGGTTGATCATTAAAATAACAAGTAGATGTAGTTTATTCATATACACAAATGTTTTACCTGCCAATGTCAATAGCAAAATCACCACGGATAGTTCCAGCAGCAGACTCCAAGGGGTTGGTTGCTCCAATGATCTTCCTGCCAGTGGCAACTACACCCTTACCCTCCCAGACCATAGCAACAACAGGTCCAGAAACAATATACTCAACAAGCCCATTAAAGAAAGGCTTCGCCGACAAGTCTGCGTAATGCTTCTCAGCAAAGGCACGGTCCACAGTAATGAGCTTCAAGCCTGTATACATGTAAAGTAAAAATCACAACCCAAATCAACAATTATAGTAAAAAAAAACAAAAATAAATTCAAAATCAAAAGAATCCTTTTAACGGTAACAATGACACATTAGCTGGATAATGATGCATCAGCGATAATAATTACGCCAGGATGAAAGGGGAACATACTAAACTGTTCAAAACAATATTACTCTAATGTAAATAAACAAAACCTCAATTGAAAAATCATTACGGTGTGGGTCCTGACTAATCATAAGTGTTTTGTGCTGTAATTGGGACATTCAATAAATCGAGTACTAAATTAATCATACTTCTTAATAATTGATTAAATTTTACCTTTCAAAGAGAATCCTTTCTTCTCAAATCTGCTGATAATCTCACCAACCTGAAGCATAACATTCAAATGAGTGCACAGTAAGAAGAAAAAAAAAAAGAGCCAGCCGTATCAAGGATTTAGTAAACTAAGATACAAAATTGACAATTTGTAACATTTATTTAACAAAAATACACACTGTATCAAAGCTCAAAGTGATAGATCTAAAAGAAACACGATTTAAGAAGACGAACCAGGCCACGTTGGACACCATCAGGCTTGATCATGATGAAAGTCTGCTCCATTTTTGCCTCTTTGATGTTTGCTCAAGTATGGTCTGTGGATTAGCAATTAGCAGTACACGGCACTTTGGTGAAAAGACGGAGAAGGGGTATTTATACGGTAACGGGTCGGTGGCACTTTACACAGTAAACCCTAATTGTTCGATGGAATATTCTCGGGTTTTTTTTTTCGGTATTGTTTTAAAACCCGAACTAAAGCCCATAGAAAAATTCGCCAGCCCAGAACCCACTACCCAGTAATAAAAGGAAAATGTAAGTTCTAGATCATATTTTGGTTAAGATGCTTCTATTTTATTATAAATTTTATTTTATATCTATATCAAAAAATAATATACTTTTTTTAAATATATATATATATATATTAAATACTTTCTTTCTTGAAGATTTGTTAGGTAAACCATTTGATATATAATATGATTAAAATTCACTAATCATTTAGAACTTATAAGTGAGAACAGTTAAATAATCTAATATTGTTTATCATATATAAACTAATAGATATGATACAGCGGGAGATAATCTTTTCTTTATTAGAGATTTAGAATTCAAGTTCAGACTATAAAAAATTCTAAATTTAATTAAACATCAAATCAAATAAAAAATAAAAATAAAAATAATATAGCATATCATCGAAGCTTTACCAAGGAATTACCCAATTGGATTGATTCCTATATTGAAATCCTAACCTTAAAATAAACATTCACTCGGTACTAGAATCAAATATACTCTACCTTTGAAAAAGTTGAAATTGATGTTAAAGATATAGAACTATCCATAAAGATATAAAACTATCAATCTTCGATATTAACGATAACCTTCATTCAGGAGTGATTCAAGTGTATTAGTAATCTAAAATAAAAATTAAATGGGGTCTTAAATTTAAATTATTAATAATTTTTATGTAATTTATTTCTTCTAGTTTTCATTCGAGAATATAATTATTTTTATTTTAAATTATTTTTATTAGATATAGTACTTCAAATATGTTAAATTTATTCTATTAATCCCTTCAATTTTCATAAAATGTTTACTTTTTCTACAAATAGTATTTAATATTTGTTAAAAAATAAATAACTTATAACCTATTATTATAAAAAATAAAATGAGGCCTCACATATTTTTTTTTACATTGTCGAGCCATCTCTGTCTTCATTATATTATTATTATTATTATTATTAGCAGTAGTAGTAGTAATAGTAGTAGCAGTAATAGGTTATTAATGGGTAGAAAATTTACGAGTGCAAGCATAGCTCATAAGAAAGTAAATAAAGTTATATAAACTACCTTAGAAGGAATTTAAAAATTTTAAGGACCGTTTGGTAGGCTGCATTAAAAGAACGAAAAAGGGCCTAAAATACCCTTAAAGTATTGAAAATGGTATAAAATTGCCCTTCATCCACTTATTGGCTTCAAAATGCTCTTTTCATTCACCTATTGACTCCAAAATGCCCTTTTCATCCACCTATTGACTCCAAAATACCCTTGTCACCTTTGGATTCAAAATTGACCAATTTTTTAATTGTTTTAAAATCAAACACTTTAAATATTTTTTAAAATACTTGACGTTTTACTATTGGTTATAATTAAATTTATTAATATAATTTATAAATCAACCCACTACACACTAATTACTAACTAAACCGCACCCAATTAATAATCCAATTATAATATCAAAATCATCATAAACACTACTAAAACACGATGAAATTATAGATTCCCGAAAATAACATTCAAAATTATTCGAGTCCGAATCGAAGCCCCAATTAAATTTAGATTGAGCCGCTTATTTGGGAGGACACTTTCTTTCAAGATTGAATGAGAAATTTATGATTAAAGATAAAGAAGTAATACATCCCAAGTTAATTCATGCATTTTTTTAAAATATAATTTTATAAATATTTATTATTTGTTTTAAAACCTTTAATATATTATTTTAAAAAAAACTTACCTATGAAGTAACATCACATAATTGAGATGTAAGAATAATTAAGATAAACATAGTCAGGCTTTTAAGTTTATCGTTAATTTTATTGGACACTTGAATGTATGATAATTTACTTCTATAGATATTTTCGCCTCAAATTTTAAAAACACTCAATTGGTAGTTGCTAATCTGTTGTTGTACATTAATAATGTGACGGATTTATTAATTTAGAGGGGTTTAATTAGTAATGGGTGGGTAGTGGATTGATTTATAAATTATATTAATAAGTTAAATTATAACAAATAGTTGAGTGCCACATATTTAAAAAAATATTTAAATAGTTTATATATAAAACCGTTAAATAAGTGGTCAATTTTGAACCAAAAGGTGGATGACAAGAATATTTTGGATCCAATAGGTGGGTGGGAAGGGTATGTTGGAGCCAATAGGTAGATGAAGGGTAATTTTGTACCATTTCTAATACTTTAAGGGTATTTTAGGCCCTTTTCCATTAAAAGAAATAATCTATATACTAGGCAAGGTATTATTTAGTACTATGTTTGATAGGAATTTGGGCCTAATACCTAGAGCCGTCAAAATGGTTTGGCCCGCGAGGTCGGCCCAACCCAACTCTTGAAATAAGTGGGGTTGGGTTTAATATTTTGAAATTTTTTTTACATAATATGACAAACTTCAATATACATTTAAATAATACAACTATAGTTTAATTTTTTTTATGTTATATGACTATAACTATACAATAAATAGCAAATTTAATTGTATATCAATAATCATTTTTTTATTTAATATAAATAAATAATAAATAAGAAAATCATTATTAAACTCATAATTAATTTCATATCTTCTCTTTTATCAATATCCTTATATTACAGATTTTTTTGTATCCCCCCTCCCCCAATTCTTTCCAATTCAAGATCCTTTTGTATGATTGTAGTAGTGATTTTTGTGATACAAATCATTATACTTATATTTGTGGTTCAATCAAATGTCAAATGTTTATATTTAATAATACTTATATACATAGATATTTGTATTGTAATATTAATAAAATGGTAATTGTGAATATAAATATATTTGGATACTTAAGTAATTTATCCAATTTGATTAGGCAATACAAGTATAGTAGGATACATCAATACTATATTTTTATTTTTTTGTCCCATTTATAAATGAGGCTTTTTATCCCGCCCTATTTGGCTCGTTGGCCTCGTAGGTCCAACCCGCAAGCCTCTGAGGCCAGTCCGTGGGCTATTAATTTTTTAAAATATTTTTATGCATATTTTTAATAGTATTTTATTTGTAATAATTTTATGAATAAATATTTTAAAAAATAAAAAATCAATTATTTTGCATTATCATACATGGTGAATTGTAGATAAAGATCAACTTCTTAAGGAAATAATATCACATGTTGATCCAAATGTGATCGATGTGAAAGCAGAAGTGGAGTTGTAAAACATTAATTAATAAGTCATGTAATATTTAGAAATTTAGATTTGTTAAGTATTTAGGCTGCCTTGTGTTGATGGAAATATTTCAAACCAGCTAATTTTTTGTGGGAGAAATGATGGAATGATCAACATTTATCCGCTAAAGCTTACGTTGGCTATTATGTATTTTTGTAAGTATTTATCAAAGTGTATGATTCATAAATGTATTTTTGTAAGTATTCACCGAAGTGTGTGATTTATAAATGAATTTTTATATGAATTGATGTCGTGTTCATAGACGTCAATATTCCATACTCTTTCTAAGAGTGTAATTTTGTTCATTTTTTTGTTGAAGGACCAACACTTCCCAACCCGTGACCTGCTTAGGGTTGGGTTGGGCCGCTATTTTATTGGCCCTTTAATTAAAAGGATCAACCCGCCCCAACCCATTTAACTCTCTAGCTCATTAGGGTTGAGTTGGGCAAGCCCATTTTGACACCTCTACAGTAATACCTTCTATTTGGAGGTATTAGTAATACATAGGATATAATATCATGTGATAAGTCTATGTAAAGATTAAAATATCCCCTCAAATCCATTTAATTATTTTCTTGATTTTATGGTTTATATTTGTACTAATAAATTTATTTGAATAAATTAACTTACAAATTATTTAGAGAGAGTTGTTTGTTACTAAATAAATATAAATTTAAAATTTGAGTATTTGACGTTTGTGGTCTTAATTGAATATATATATATATATATATATATATATATATATATATATATATAGAGAGAGAGAGAGAGAGAGAGAGAGAGAGAGAGACTTGTGTGGTTTTCTAATCATTTGTATTTTGAAGAATTTAAACATACATTACATACTAAAACTACAACTAGCAATTTTTTATGTGTAACTATAGATGGTTTATTCAATTTTACCATTGTTGACCGTCTTTTCAATTTTAAAAGTAGATTGTTTATCTTTTTAAAATTGAAAATGGCATTTTGTGAGCGATCAATTTATTAAGATGACAATTATTTATTCTCAAATAATTCAAGCGAAAAAACAACAAATATGATAACAAAATTGTTCCTCTCATAGCTAATTAGAAGGCCGTAAAAAATAATTTTGTCCGAAAATCATCTACCTTGATTCAACTACCTAATATTCAAGCTTATTATTAGAAAGAAGCTTTTTATGTAGTTTTAATCCAAACACAAAATGAGATGGGAAATATAGAAATAAATTTTGCATTACTAATCCCTGCGTTATTAATTTTTGTGTACCCTAAATATGTAATTTTATCCTTTGAAAATATATATACATTTAGGTATTATATATTCTAGGTAAATTGTAGTATGTGATAGTCTTTAAATTCGAAAAAAAAATTGTCTTAATTATATTTATTAAAAAGAAAAAAAAATAGAGACAAGTTGAAAAGTGGGGTAAAAGTTAGATGAGACGGTGACAATGACATATTTTTTCATCCCAAGTTCCCAACTCATTGTCGTTCTTTGATTCGAGGGAAATGAAATGTTCAATTATGTTTTCAGATAAAATATTAATTCGATAGTGAAATTAAGAAGAAAGAAAAAAAATCTTTTGATGCATGAATTAAATTGATACAAAATATTGATGGTAAAATATTCTTATGATGTTTTTGATATAAAAGAAACATAAAATATTCTCCGGA